TAATAATAATAATAATACAGTTTTCTTTTCTTGCCATTCTTCTGTGTTTGATCCCAAATGTATAGAAGTGCAATTTAAATATATGAAGTATAATTTCAATCTAATAATGTATAATACATTTGGAATTTCAGAGCTGAGAGCAAATTGTGCTTATTCAGACATCTGGTTAGAGAAGTTTAATTATCTGGTCAATCCTTTGGGACAAGGAGATGACTTCTTGCCCCTTCCTGCCCTGTGACTGAGATTCTGGAATTCATAGAAGTCATGCCGTGACCCTCTTCAGCAGTGTCTGGGTCTAGAGAAGTGTGGTGAAGTAAATTCAATGTATTCAATATCCAGGTTTTCTTGAGTAATAATCTTTTGATTTTCAGTTTTTCTGGTATAATACATTACTTTGACATCCTCTATTGTCAAGTGTTGTATGCAGAAATGTCCCTTGGAACTAACTATAATTTCTAAATGTTTTAGCAGGTTTAAAATGTTGCATTATCCTATGTCATGCTTATCAATGTTTTGTTGCTTTTATAGATTACCTTTCTCAAGGGATAGATCTCTCTGGAATAGAAGTAATTGAAAATGACCTGCTTTTTATCGCAAGAGCTCGGCTTGAGGTGGAAAATCAGGCTAAAAGGTTGCTTGAGCAAGGTGTGGAGACTCAGGTAAAATACATTTTCTTCTTTATTTTCTTTCAAAAGTAAAGTGTCAAAGTACTTTGAGCTTGATTTCCTTTGTTTTGTGTAGCATTGTCTAGTGAAGATTAAACATGAAAAAAGTCTTACATGAGAAATTCTCCCACATGAGAATATCCAAAGAAATTAACAAAACTGACCTTGTACAATATTTGCAAGAATAAAATTTTGCAGGATCTGATCCTGAAATTTGGGAGAAAGTAGGTGTTGATATGAAGAGTTTAACTCTAAACACTCTGATAAAAGCTTGATGATTGATAGGACTTTGCATTAAGCACAGTATACTACATTGCCAATATTGATGAGCTTTATAGATAAATCTGAAAAATGCAGTTTCTTAAAACTGTGGGAAGATTTCTACATTTCAGCTATGCAGTAATATATTGAAACAATTTGAAAGATTTCCCATTCAAACTTTAAAGGGCATTTTAAACTTTGAGGTAAATATTCACTGTAGGGAATATAAAAATGAATATGCATAATTACATTCATCCATACTAAACGTAATTATCTACATTTTTAAAAAACAGGCTGCATCTATTATTTAACTATTTGTAGTATCATTAGTTCTGTCTTCTTGCCTTTTTAAAAATTCATGTTCTTTTAGTATTCTTTAAAAAAAAAGTTGTTTAAATCCCCATCACTACAGCAAGAGAAAAAAATCTACTACAAGTTCCTATCAAATTTGGGTTTTAAATTAGAGAACAAAGAGAATTAGAACAAGACATTTTTATTCTGTTTGTTACCAACAGTTAAACTTATCTGTAAGTCAATATAGCATTCGTTTATACTATTGAAGGTTGACATGAAAATAGAGCATATACAGAATAGAAAATCTCTTCATTAAATTGACTTGGTTAGATAGTTGAGGATTAAAATTATCAGTATGTCTCAAACTTTTACTTAGAACTCTTATTTCAAGTAATTTTCTGCATTAAGTCATGATTGTGGGAAATACCTTTGGCTATTCACTGATAGCAAAATGGTAGGAAAAAACACCCCTTTTTTTTACTTGATTATTATTCAAACATTGAAACTCCTGGCTATTTGAGCATGTTGCCAAGCTGTGATTGGGCTTGTTACAAGCTATGAAGCATATACAATGTTAAATAAAGACTGAACAAAAATAGCAAGTGGACATTTCTTTTAAATGTAGCAAAAGTCTTCATCAGTGTGTACTCCTCCTAGTTTTTCATGCCAGATTTGACCTTCTCTGATAATTTTCTCTTCATATTAAGTACTAAAATGGAACTGACAAAGAAACCCTGGGGAAATCAATCCCACTCCACTTGAAAAATAGACAGATTTATTAGGTGTTCCAGGCCGTATCCAGGTAATCAAGAGATTATGAAAGTATATGCCTGTTGTGCTTTAGCCCGAGGCCTGTTTCCAGCAAATGGAAGATTTTTTTGAGGGAACATTATTAGTGCTTAGTCATATCAAAAGTGGGGATGTTTTCATGAAGAGGTGTCAGGGTATGCTTCACAGGTTTGTTGTTGGATATGATTCGCAGATTTAATGTTGGAAGAATAGTGTGCTTTAGAAAATACGCATGCAAGCATTGCCTAAGAAATCTAGCAGATAGTATGTCTTTTATTCTTATTATTGTAGCTGAGTGTTTTATTGACAAGCTGATTTATGTTTATACCATCCAAACCCTGAGATTTCCCATAAGAGGGCATATGATCTTCATTTTTTCTTCTGCGTTTTGTACCGCAGAATTCCTCAGATGGGCTGTCTCCCTGCTACTATCTATTATGGTAGCCAAGTCTGTACCTTTGAGAATAGTGCATCTGTGTTTGTCCAGGTGGTTCTTCAGTTATTTGATAGTCATATTTGCACCTTTGTTTTGATCTGCTGTGTAAATAATACACAAGAGCAGTTGTCTACGTAAAAGCGAGCTGTATTTCTGTATTTCATCTAGCACTTTTCAGCAATGTCTTAAGTAGTAGTCTTACGTCTCTATTTCAGAGTATTTCAGTGTCCACCTGGAAGAGAAACAGGAAGTGGAAATAGTTATAGTTTAGGGGGGGTTATGTATCTCCTTTTAAGCAGAAATCATTAGAATTTGATGAATGTCTTCTCTAGAATTCAGCTTTTTTTCCAGAGATGCTGCTAGAAGTTACGCTGACAAAAAGAACAGAGCTAAAAAGTTTAAACTGCCCCTTTCAACATTTTGATATATCTCCTTTGGTTAGGTAAGAAACTATTTTTGTTAATTTGATTATTTATGTAATGATGTATAAGTCACATGCTAATGAGCTGTGCCCAGATTCCCCCAAATAACCACCAGCAGTAGGACATGAAAGCAGATACTTCCCTCTAAGTGATACGTTGTCTTTTTCTCAGCACTGTAATTCACGTTTTTATTGCATGCCCATCACTGTAGCATTTGTGTATTTCTCAGAAGAAACAAAATCTCTCTTTCCCTCTTCCTTTGGAACTGTGGCATTAGACATTGACTGCTTCAGAAGTGAAGACTTCCACTCATGTTCATGGTGGTATCTTTAAAGCTGCCATCTGGGTATAAACTAGAAGTGTCTGTCAGCGTGTCTAGACTTAACAGGCTTTCATAGAGCTGCCAACCACGCTTGTCTTCCTAATCCTTTTAAAAAGAGTAAGCCCTCTTTGCTCTTGTTGACCAAAGTAATACAAATAGAATTATAGAATGGTTTGGGTTGGAAGGGATCTTAAAGATCATCTAGTTCCAACTCCCCCTGCCATGGGCAAGGACACCCTCCACTAGACCAGGTTGTTCAAATGATAGTAAACCCAATCAAGCAGGGATACCAGTGGCTACGAGCAGGTTTTTTTATTGTTATGATATGCTTTGTTACGCACTCCTAGTGTACATAGCACAGATTGGTGCTCTTTCGTGACCCACAGAATGGTATCAAGAAAATGGATTCAAACCCTGGCCTTACTGTTTAGTCCTAACTCCCTGGTAGCTTTCCTTCACACTGTAAGCAGGTTAGTGGCAGGTAGCATAGAAAGCAGGAGAGGCTGTTTTAACAGAGGTACATCATATTAAAGTCATCATTCTAAGAGAAGAGACAGCAATGTTTTCTGCTTTAAAAAGAAAAAAAAGAGGTATATATCCATCTTGCAAGCAATTGAAGCATCCCCAGCATTTCTTTTGCTCACAGCATGAACTGTAGGCAGAGGAATCAAGATGTGCTCTTGACACCACTTCACCCCTTTATTCAACAGCAGCGTATTGTGTAAAGCAGATCTGAATAATAAGAAATTACGTGGAACAAGAGACATTTGTTAAGATTACCATAGCTCAATTCCAGGTAGGACAGTTTTGCCAGATACAATGTGGTGGCTGCTCTATTTACAAAGAAGAAAGCTTTCTCTGCAACTTAGGTCACACTTCAAACCCTTTCTGTTCTATATTATCATGCTTAGTATGAGACTTTCCTCTTACAGCCAGGGATGCCCAAACTTAGTTCTGTCAGGAAATGATAAGGTTGGTAGCATTAGGAGCCAGGCTATGTGGGTGGAGAAAAGAGGTACATTTCCATCTCCTCCATCTCTACTCCTCAGAAGAGGTAGCTCTAGTGCTGAGCTAAGTTCACTACTGTAACAAGTTAGGGGTCTCCTGTGTAAGAAGGGTGGATTTTTGCATGTCTGTACCTGTATGTGTGAAAAGGGTTAGGAACCTGTGCTCTTGCTTTTGACTTTACTGGCACAAACTTTAGTAATTGGCTAGGATATAGATGGTGAGGGCTATAGTATCATTAAAGATTGATTAAAATATAAAATATCCATTTAGGTCAAACAAGACATGGTGTGGAGATGAGAGTAGAACTCACATTTCCTTGAGTTTGCACCTTAAATACAGTTTGTCCTTCTGTGTGTTACAGAAACATTCTTTATCTTTGACCACAGATAGTAAAAGTTTTCTTTCTTTGTCTCCTGGAGTGATTTAGAGGTGTCTGACTGTTTTTTTAAAGGAAGGTTTTGGATAAATTATGTGATGTTTGTCGCCGAGTTTCCCTCATTTAAGGTGTGGGCAAATTTCTTTTCCTGCCTAGCATGGACCTGGAGAGAGTTAAATTCACTAATAAGTCACTGAAATTGTTCTGGTGATCGTGTAGTGAAGTTTCCTGATTGTGTTAGAGAAAGCAAACAATAAGTGTAAGCTAAATAACTGTCCTTTGTCCAAATGAATATTAAATTGTGTCTGCGGTTTTTTTAATACATAGTGGTTTGGGTTTTTTTAAAAATGAAGAGCTTTACTAATTATAACCTCACAGAATAAAGAAGGGGGGGTGGAAACCCCAACAGAAATAGATCGTAAACTCTACTTGCAAAATGTTCAAATGCTGGATTTGTATACACAGGATAAATATTTAAACAATACAGTCTGAACAAAAGTTCTCAATTAATTTCAGTGTAACATATTATTGTCACTTTGAGCATATTTGGGGCATTTTGAATTTTCATACTGTAACTCACTGAGTAGAATTTGTTTTGTGAATTGTGGTTTGCATTCTTTTTCATACTGAACCTTTCCTCTAAGTTGTCATTTCTGGGACAAGTACAGCATTTTTTATCCACATTAAAAAATTATTAACTGGATGTGTATGCATAATTGTTCTTGTCTAACACTATTTAGCACCTGAGAAAAATAATGGCATGAAAAAGTATCTGCATAATTAACCAGTTGTCTGGAGGTGATTATCAAGAAGTTGCTCAATTTCTCTCAGGTCAGGGTTCCCTAAGCTAGGTGCTTATGTAGTACATCTTGCAGTGTTATGGCAAAATTGGTGAAATTAATCCAAAATCTTTCATAGACCAGCATTTAATCTCGTGTCAAGGATCTCTAGCAATAGGTCTTCTTTCTTCTCCCTAAGGGATTGGAGGGGAAAGTACGCACATAATTGACCATTTTTCCACACATAATCATCAAGATGTTGCATAATTTATTTCATTTCAGGGTCCTCTGAACTGAGTGCTTATGT